TTTATCTTTTAACTCCACCGCCTCTTGCCAAGACCCTCGCATTTACTTCTCTTACAACCCCATCTATAAATATATTAAACAACCACGGTGACATCACACATCCTTGTCTAAGGCCTACTTTTACTGGGAAAAAATTTCCCTCTTTCCTACATACTCTAACTTGAGCCTCACTATCCTCGTAAAAACTCTTCACTGCTTTCAGTAACCTACCTCCTACACCATACACTTGCAACATCTGCCACATGCCCCCCTATCCACCCTGTCATACGCCTTTTCCAAATCCATAAATGCCACAAAGACCTCTTTAGCCTTATCTAAATACTGTTCACTTATATGTTTCACTGTAAACACCTGGTCCACACACCCCCTACCTTTCCTAAAGCCTCCTTGTTCATCTGCTATCCTATTCTCCGTCTTACTCTTAATTCTTTCAATTATAACTCTACCATACACTTTACCAGGTACACTCAACAGACTTATCCCCCTATAATTTTTGCACTCTCTTTTATCCCCTTTGCCTTTTTACAAAGGAACTATGCATGCTCTCTGCCAATCCCTAGGTACCTTCCTCTTCCATACATTTATTAAATAATTGCACCAACCACTCCAAAACTATATCCCCACCTGCTTTTACATTCTATCTTTATCCATCAATCCCGGCTGCCTTACCCCCTTTCATTTTACCTACTGCCTCACGAACTTCCCCCACACTCACAACTGGCTCTTCCTCACTCTACAAGATGTTATTCCTCCTGCCCTATACACGAAATCACAGCTTCCCATATCTTCATCAACATTTAACAATTCCTCAAAATATTCCTTCCATCTTCCCAATACCTCTAACTCTCCATTTAATAACTCTCCTCTCCTATTTTTAACTGACAAATCCATTTGTTCTCTAGGCTTTCTTAACTTGTTAATCTCACTCCAAAACTTTTTCTTATTTTCAACAAAATTTGTTGATAACATCTCACCCACTCTCTCATTTGCTCTCTTTTTACATTGCTTCACCACTCTCTTAACTTCTCTCTTTTTCTCCATATACTCTTCCCTCCTTGCATCACTTCTACTTTGTAAAAACTTCTCATATGCTAACTTTTTCTCCCTTACTACTCTCTTTACATCATCATTCCACCAATCGCTCCTCTTCCCTCCTGCACCCACTTTCCTGTAACCACAAACTTCTGCTGAACACTCTAACACTACATTTTTAAACCTACCCATACCTCTTCGACCCCATTGCCTATGCTCTCATTAGCCCATCTATCCTCCAATAGCTGTTTATATCTTACCCTAACTGCCTCCTCTTTTAGTTTATAAACCTTCACCTCTCTCTTCCCTGATGCTTCTATTCTCCTTGTATCCCATCTACCTTTTACTCTCAGTGTAGCTACAACTAGAAAGTGATCTGATATATCTGTGGCCCCTCTATAAACATGTACATCCTGAAGTCTACTCAACAGTCTTTTATCTACCAATACATAATCCAACAAACTACTGTCATTTCGCCCTACATCATATCGTGTATACTTATTTATCCTCTTTTTCTTAAAATATGTATTACCTATAACTAAACCCCTTTCTATACAAAGTTCAATCAAAGGGCTCCCATTATCATTTACACCTGGCACCCCAAACTTACCTACCACACCCTCTCTAAAAGTTTCTCCTACTTTAGCATTCAAGTCCCTACCACAATTACTCTCTCACTTGGTTCAAAGGCTCTATACATTCACTTAACATCTCCCAAAATCTCTCTCTCTCCCCTGCATTCCTCTCTTCTCCAGGTGCATACACACTTATTATGACCCACTTCTCGCATCCAACCTTTACTTTAATCCACATAATTCTTGAATTTACACATTCATATTCTCTTTTCTCCTTCCATAACTGATCATTTAACATTACTGCTACCCCTTCCTTTGCTCTAACTCTCTCAGATACTCCAGATTTAATCCCATTTATTTCCCCCACTGAAACTCTCCTACCCCCTTCAGCTTTGTTTCGCTTAGGGCCAGGACATCCAACTTCTTTTCATTCATAACATCAGCAATCATCTGTTTCTTGTCATCCGCACTACATCCACGCACATTTAAGCAACCCAGTTTTATAAAGTTTTTCTTCTTCTCTTTTTTAGTAATTGTATACAGGAGAAGGGGTTACTAGCCCATTGCTCCCGGCATTTTAGTCGCCTCATACGACACGCATGGCTTACGGAGGAAAGATTCTTTTCCACTTCCCCATGGACAATAGAAGAAATAAAAAAGAACAAGAGCTATTTAGAAAAAGGAGAAAAACCTAGATGTATGTATATATATATATGCATGTGCGTGTCTGTGAAGTGTGACCAAAGTGTAAGTAGGAGTAGCAAGATATCCCTGTTATCTTAGCGTGTTTATGAGACAGAAAAAGAAACCAGCAATCCTACCATCATGCAAAACAGTTACAGGTTTTTGTTTCACAGTCATCTGGCAGGACGGTAGTACTTCCCTGGGTGGTTGCTGTCTACCAACCTACTACCATATATATATATATATATATAAATATATATATATATATATATATCTTTCAACACACAGGCCGTATCCCACCAAGGCAGGGTGGCCCAAAAGGAAAAACGAAAGTTTCTCCTTTTATATTTAGTAATATATACAGGAGAAGTGGTTACTAGCTCCTTGCTCCCGGCATTTTAGTCGCCTCTTACAACACGCATGGCTTACGGAGGAAGAATTCTGTTCCACTTCCCCATGGAGGTAAGACGAAATAAGCAAGAACAAGAACTAGTAAGAAAAATGGAAGAAAACCCAGAGGGGTGTGTATATACATATATGCTTGTACATGTATGTGTAGTGTGACCTAAGTGTAAGTAGAAGTAGCAAGACGTATCTGAAACCTTGCATGTTTATGAGACAGAAAAATGGACAGCAGCAATCCTACCTTCATGTAAAACAATTACAGGTTTCCGTTTTACACTCACTTGGCAGGACGGTAGTACCTCCCTGGGCGGATATATATATTATATATATATATATATATATATATATATATATATATATATATATATATATATATATATATATTATATATATTACTTATTACCTAGATAAGGTGAGAGGTTCAACAGTTACTGTGCTAGGATAGTACATCACATATTAAGTACAGATGGGATCTTATGTAGTACACAAGCTGAAGTATTTCAGTCACACACACACACTTGTCTGATACCTTCTCTCGCTGTAAATAAAAAAAATGTGGAGTGACAGAGGCAGAAGGAATAAATGGGGTTGGTGGCGTCATATAGCAGAGCTTGTAATGTGTGTGTGTAGCGGTGAGAGAAGGAACGAGGTTTTTATAAGCTCTGGTCAGCCTCTCTCACTCTGGCCTGGAGGGTAGGTGCACAGCGAAGTCCCTCTGGGTAAGCTTCGCTACCTTCTATTTTTTTTGTCCCTTTGACCATATGCACTGAAGGAGAAATTGTTGCGCTATATTCAGATAATGGAGGAGTTTTTAATTGTCTTTCTACATCTCTAGAATCATCACTCATAGCACATCAAAGATTCATATTGTCTCGGGAACCTTGAGAACCACATTTATAAACAAGAAAACTATCCTCATCGTAGAAAATAAAAAAAAATTCGTAAATCAACCATTCCATCATATTAGCTCCAGCGTTGCAGATTCACGACCGCAAACCAACAAGTCGTAAAAATCGGGAAGGGACAAAAGGATTGCTTATGGAATCAGAAAGGAACAGGTAGAAATCGTTCTCTGAATGGACCTACCGATGGGAAAAATGCGTGTTGCAAAACCTGAGTGTAGCCAATTACAGCTAAGGCCTTGCAGGTGTCCCTAATGAGGTGATTCTCCAGTCGTAACCCTCTGCGTGTTCCCTATTCACTCGAAATGAAAACGAATGGTAAAAAAAACTGGAGGTGGATAGAGGGAGAAAGGGAGAAAGGGAGGGACAGAGACACATAAAAAGATGGGGCCAAAGCAAGTAAAGGGAGGGAGATATGGAGAGGAGAGAGTCATATAAGGAAATTAGAAATGACAGATATACAGAGAAACAGTCTCGTAGCCCAGGCAGTGTTGGGGTTCCACTCTGGTTCACCACTTGACTGGTAGATGACTGATATATTTGTGAGACATAGATTGACTGTCAACTTCACGTGTACACTTTGAGCATGAATAATAATAATAATAATAATAATAATAATAATAATAATAATAATAATAATAAATTTCTTCAGGTACACGTACAAGGTATACAGACCTATCTGACATCAATGACATACTACTGTATAGAAAGCCGCTTGTTATGCTGAGCATTTCGGGCAGCTAAAGTTAATTTTGTCCCCAGGATGCGACCCACACCGGTCGACTAACACCCGGAACCTATTTACTGCTAGATGAACAGGAACAGAAATGTCTTAAGGAAACACGCCCTAACGTTTCCACTCGTATTAGGGATCAAACCACGGACCTCAATGTGCGAGCTGAGTGCTCTACCAACCGAGCTACGGGATACCAAAAAACTTTAACAGGTAATCAATCTCACCTATTTCTTCCTCGTTAGTAACATTGGCTCATCTGCAAGACTGAGTATTTCTAGAAAGTAACGTAGAGGTGAATGTTGCCTGTTCAGTAATGTTGAGTTTGCATGTTAGCGATTGCATTTCATTATCACTGTATGTTTTAGCAGGCAATATAAAATACTTTACATAGGGTTTTCTACAAAAGTAGTTCAGTATACAGCTCCTTATATACCTACTTATAGACGAGGAATTGACAAGGTGGACAAATAGGATGTTCCAGAGATGGGACACAGACACAAGGGATCAGGAATTGGAAGTTGAAGACTCAGATGAGTCAAAGATGTTAGGGAGTATTTCTTTTGTCAGAGTTGTCAGGAAGTGGAATAGTCTGGCAAGTGATGTAGTGGAGGCAGGAACCATACATAGTTTTAAGACGAGGTATGATAAAGCTCATGGAGCAGGGAGAGAGAGGACCTAGTAGCCATCAGTGAAGAAGCGGAGCCAGGAGCTATGTCTCGACCCCTGTAACCACAAATAGGTGATTACAGATAGGTGAGTACAAATAGGTGAGTATAGACATGTCACCATGTAGGTTCCCCTGCATTCATGCACACACATGTTGCATTATGGCAAGCTAGCAACTTGCACGGACAATTCACCGTCCTTTCACCTTGTTAGTCTAATCGTCTTGCGATGACATTCCTCCCCTAGTACAGATCATGGTGTCTCGTACCTGTTCCCTGGTCACCATATATCTGTCACCTGATCGCCTGCAGCTGCAACCAGCGTCTGTTGCTCTTATGCAAATAACCTTCACGAGTTCCATAACGGCTGGCTGACTAGCAACGCTCTCCACTGCAACATACAATGCATTCCACCCCTTACGTAAGGCGACTCCCATTGCAACCCACGACCCACAAGCCTTGCAAGCCCCTACCCATCAATGCCTCCTCTCCTCTGTACCTTTCCCAGGCGCAGAAACGACTGCAGGGAAAGGTCCCAATGGAGGTAGGGAGGGGTGGGGGCCAATAGGTCCAACCTATTCCCACAACCCATGCCGACCCACCTCAAAAGACCAAAAAAACAATAACAACAGGTGTTTGTGTGCATTATTGCATAGGCGGTGTTCGTTTTCATGGCCATGGCTTCCGTCCGAGGTGACTTCATAATTACTTCGGGCGATTGCTCATCGACATGTGGTATTTAGCTAAAAGTGTGATTACACTAATGAGACTTGACGGATCTGGCAGAGCCTGAATGCATGGTGCGTTCTGTTGATAATGCGAAGCTGAAGTCAAGGCTAAGAGGCCATACGAACACCCTTCTACCAGCTACGACACCCGGTGCAAAACTCAAATTACGAGACAACTTTTCGACCTGTGCGAAACTGTCAGATCGTGAGACACTATTTCGACCTATGCAGAGCTTTATTAAGTCATAAGAGACAATGGTTTAGAGCTTCATCGTGAGTTAATAACAAAACAGTCGTCTCGTGAGGCTTGTTCCACCCGAGTCTTTACTGTGGTCGGCAACACGACCACTATGGTCGGCAACACGACCACTATGGTCGGCAACACGACCACTATGGTCGGTACAGGTACAATGTATACAGACCATAGCTGACATCCATGACATACTATATAGAAATCTCATTATGCAGAGCATTCCGGGCAAATTAGGTTAATTATGTTCCCAGGATGCGACCCACACCAGTAGACTAACACCCTAGAGAAAGTACAAAGGTTTGCAACAAGACTAGTCCCAGAGCTAAGAGGTATGTCCTACGAGGAGAGGTTAAGGGAACTCGACCTGACGACAATGGAGGACAGGAGAGATAGGGGGGGGGACATGATAACGACATACAAAATACTGAGAGGAATTGACAAAGTGGACAAAGACAGGATGTTCCAGAGATTGGACACAGCAATAGGGGGACACAGTTGGAAGTTGAAGACACAGATGAATCACAGGGATGTTAGGAAGTATTTCTTCAGCCACAGAGTAGTCAGGAAGTGGAATAGTTTGGGAAGCGATGTAGTGGTGGCAGGATCCATACATAGCTTTAAGCAGAGGTATGATAAAGCTCACAGTTCAGGGAGAGTGACCTAGTAGCGACCAGTGAAGAGGCGGGGCCAGGAGCTAGGACCCGACCACTGCAACCTCAACTAGGTGAGCACAACTAGGCGAGTACCCAGGTACCTGTTTACTGATAGGTGAACAGGGACAGCAGGTGTCTTAAAGAAACGCGTCCTAATGTTTCCACCCGTACCGGAGATCGAACCACGGACTTTAGTGTGTGAGCTGAGTGCGCTACCAACCGAGCCATGGGACAATTGAACATTCAGTTGAACATGCTTATTAATATTGATTATATTCTTGGCTGGTGGTGAACAGATAACATGACCGCAATGTCGTCGACAGTCTTGAAACCCCATTAACCAGCCATGAACAGAAAACTAAACCTGAAGGAATGGGATAAAATTCCTTGGATCAACAGCCCCTTCACCAATGGAAATAAGTCACTCTGTCTGACTTTTTTGGGTTATCCTAGGTTCTCTACACATATGCTGCTATGTATGATAATTCTATGTAACTGTACTGTGTATACCTGAATAAATTTACTTACTTACTTACTTACCAGAATCAAGGACCCTCCCATAAAGTTTAATTAAGTTAGTCCAGAAATAAAAGAAAATGAAATATTACAAATGTTATAGAAAACTGTTTATTAGCTATAACTAAAATATTATACAAATTGTTCACACACAAATTTATTAACCTTGGATCAAAATTCTATGTTGGTTCAAGTAACAAGTTGTTCAGGAAAATGTTGTATATTCACTGTTCAAAATTATTTTATGGGACATGCATAATATAACAGTTGTTATAACGAGTAACTACTGCACTGTGTTAACACTAACATAATGTTACACTCTGGTGTTACTTATTATTGCATGTTTAATTTTCTTTGACATTTCTTGCAGTTCATCTGAAGCTTCTTACCCAGCCTAACTCTTTTGGAGAAAACACAATGAGTGACGGTATCTGATCTTCCAGACGTTGTATAATTGTTGAATTAACTCTGCTGCAGCCCCAGAGCTCTAGTCCACTTAGATGAGGAAGAGCTGTGGGAATGTTAATGAGAGCAGTGCCAGTGAGGTTTGGCATTCTAGTCAAATTGAGTTCTTGGAGCAGTGGGCACCGAGCCACCACCTCGGCAATACCAGCGTCAGTCATAGTGGAACTAGTAAGCAGTGGTGGGTTGAACATGCCGTAAGTTGCCGTCATACATTTGAGTGTTAGTCTGAGCAGGTTAGGGCAATTCCTTGCCAGGGTTTTCACTACCAAGTCATTCAAGGACTGAAATACAAGCTCAAGGTGAACCAACTGCGATAAACGTTTCCCTGTAAACAGATCTGTGAGGCCAGTCACACTTACGCCATCATCCAAGAAAAGTGTTAGCGAGGTCAGCTTTTTTAGACCGTGCAGCCCACGTAGTCCAACGTCAGTCATGTTAACACACTTCATGATCATTAGTTCTTCCAGCAGCACTAGGTTACTAAATGACTTATATGAGATGTCTGTTAAATATTTACCATGTATGTGAAGACTCTTGAGACAGTGACCGAGCTCCTTCGTCAGTAATGTTATTGAAGAATCGTGTATCTCAGACATGTCTTCAATGTTAAGGTATTGGAGATGTTTACACTGTCTAGCAATACTTTCCAATTCTTCATCAGTTAGTGATGAACACATGTTAAAGTTTAAATATCGCAGTTCCTTGAAACCAGAAGTTAGAAGAAAACTATAAGTCAACCTTGAGTGTCTGTCTGTAATCAACCTTTGTATGACGGGGCGATTTCTCTCAGAAAGTTGAAGTACACACGTGTATGATGGATCAATACAATGTATGAGCGTGAGTTTCCTCAGCATTTTACAAGAATCTGCGACGTGAAGCAGGAAATTACCATTCGTAAGATTTTGCAATTCCAGTGATAGCAAGAAAGGTGAGGCTGTCACTAACCTCTGCTCTCTCTTGGTGTCTGTGTTATACACGAAATTAAATTCAAGATGTCTCCACAGTATGGGATCTTTGGCCAAGTCTCGCCATGCAGTACACACAGGAGCCACGCTAAAACACAGTTCTGGAACACTAAGGAATGAGAAAATGTGTAGCAAAAGTTCATTAGGAAGACAAGTTATGTAAAACTTGGCTTGTAAACCACTTGTAGTTCTGGCTTGTAACTCTGCATCATCCCCAGAACACTCTACTTCATCACCAGTAACAACAATCTCAGCCATGGTTGTTGTAAAGTCTTCGTTTGATCAACCAGTGTTGCTGGAAGACAGTTTGTTGTGTTGAGGGTGGACTGAGAGGTTGAGCACACGAAGCTTCTAACCACTTCACGTCCTTCCCACTTCTCTGTGACCTGTAAATAAAAATTCAACAATAAAGTATAAAAAATGTATCACTACTAAACAATATTTAATGCAAAAATATTGATAATACTGGAAAAATGTAAGTGGGAGGGGGTTAGTGTTCTCCCAGAGGTAGACAAACATACGTCATTACTCACGAACACACGTAGGAGAAAAACCTACAATTTATAATAATTCGCATAAAAGCATAAGTATCTCGTGGCGGGACGTCCTCTTTAATAAATACCGTTAATATATGTGAAGATTAATGGTTCAGAGAACCGACAAGTTGGTAAATTAGACACATGTGCAACACTTGGGTATCTTTAATAAGGATAACGTTTCGCCACACAGTGGCTTCATTAGTCCATATCAAGGGAAATGGTGACCCGGTGACCTGGTGGCTAAAGCTCTCGCTTCACACATGGAGGGCCCGGGTTCGATTCTCGGCGGGTGGAAACATTTCGACGTGTTTCCTTACACCTGCTGTCTTGTTTACCTAGCAGCGAATAGGTACCTGGGTTTTAGTCGACTGGTGTGGGTCCCATCCTGGGGGACAAGATTGAGGACCCCTCCGGGGTTAAAAATCCGAACGAAATCTTAACACACGTCTTCTCTCTCCAGCCTGCACTGATGGATGATAGAGTGTGCCGGATTATTCTTTATATTAGGTTGATAAAGCCCCAGACATGACTCACGAAATCGTAATGACACAATTGCAAACAAATCATATCACGGGTGGAGTTTTGAGACTGATCGCGGATTCAAACCCCACCATTGGTAAGGTTTGCGCCAGACATCTTCACATTCAAGCGATACACACATCCTGACCATAATATATCTCATTCCACAGAGGGAAGGACCTGCTATAAGCACAGAAAAGCATCCTAATAAATCTATTAGATTCTTTAGTAAATCCGGTGATACTTACCAAGTGTTAGTTAAAATCACTTCAGGAAAAGTCAGGGAACTCTACTGAAGGTTGCAACTCCGCTATCGAATTGACACTGACTGTGTCTCCCAGCACTTAGTCTATTATAATTATCCCCTCAAGGGATAGCGTTTCCAGAATAAGGATTCTCAAATGTTGAACAATAAAGAAGGAGCACTGCTGTAGGCCTACTGGCCCAGGCAGGCCCTTATCAAGACCATTCATGTATTTGTCCAACACCTTTTCCCAATGTTAGGTAGAAGGACACAAGTGTAACTAATGTGACATTTTATTGTGGCATACATGGCAGGTCTCCTTATCAAAAACCAGTCCTTATCAAGGACAGTGATTCCCTTCACCTGCATCAAGGCACCACCTTGCAGGAACTAATGTCCACTGCAGGATGGCCACAATAATATAAATCTAACTAACAATTAAGCAGTTATGACACAAGTTACCAAGTAAGTAAATCCTTAATAAAACTTTACGACATTGTTATAACAAAATAATTTCATTTTCTTTGAAAGGCTTTTCTCTGACACAAAAACACTAACATATTTGTTTATGCAAGATAGCAAAAACATTAACACAATTAACATCTCTTACAAAATTCGTTGTTAGTTATGTTTTAAGATAATGAGTTGTTCACGAATGTAATTATTACAAATGTTCATTGAAAATGTTATATACTCATTGTTCAAAATTATTTTAAGAGACATTCTATAATATATCATATGTGTTTTTTTACTAACTAGATTTTTAAACAATGATGTTGCACTTCTTAACATTAAACAATGTTACATTCTGGTTTTATGATTTTGCTCTTTAATATTTGGTATTAAAGGGGGCTGAACCAACTCTCCGTCCGGGGGACCCGTGTGACGGCTTGGTTTTCAGACTTTTGGTTAAAATTTGTTGAATTAACCTTGGGGCACCCCCAGAGCTCTATCTGCGTGTGAGAAGAGCTGGGGAATTTAATGGAGCGTGCCAGTAGCTTTGACATATAGTCAAAAACTGATTTTTGAAGAGTGGGCACCGAGGCCACCCCCTCGGCAATACCGCGTCGTCAATTGAGACGAGTGCACTGTTGGCTGACAAAGTTTTCATTGGAAACAAGCATAAAAGATTTAGTGGAGCAGTTTAGGGCGCTCCATCCGGGTGCTCAATAGGAGTCTCAAAGGGGAATCCAAGCCAAGGTGAACAACTCTTGTGGCCTTTCAAGTGTCTTGTGATGCGGGGAAAGTTACCAATGACCAAAACCAAAGTGCAGTGGGGTCAGTTTTTTAAAAGGGGCATATCCCCGTAGTCCAAATTTGGGGCATATTAGACCTTCCAGATCGTCAATTTTCCAGCAACACTAAGTTATAAGGATAAATAGACCATTTGTTATAAAAGCCCAGTAGTAAGATTTTGAGACAGTGACCAGCCCGCGTTAGTAAAATTATTAAAGAATGGGTAACTCGACACGTCTTGAATGTTAAGGGTATTTCAGTTTTTAAACTGTCTAACTTTATTTTCAAATCATATCAAAGTAAGGTAAGAATTTAAGTAAAATATTAAATTGCTTAAAGTCAGCGTTAGAAAAAAAATCTGATTCACTTTTCATCTCTCAAAAATCGCATATCATTGAAGCAAAAATTTAGACGATCACCCCTTAAAGCTTTTTAGAAATTTAATCAACTTCAAACTTTCTGTTGGGACAATTTGTAAAAAAAAGACGAAGAATGTATATGACATATATCACAGTGCTTAAGAGTGATTTTCTTCAACATTCTGAAGAAGCTGAACACGAAGCAGGAAATTTGAACCCCTCTGAGATTGTGAACCTCGATGAGGAAAGGAGTGAGGCAGCCACTAACTCTGCTCGGGTCTAGTGTTCCCCTACCGGGAAATCAATACAAGACTTTCCCCATTAGGGGTCTTTGGAAAAGTTTCGCCATGCTGTAATAAGGACCCACGCTCAAACACAGCTTTTGAACATGAGGAACGAAATTACGTACTAAAGCTATTGGGGGAGAAAGTTATACATAAACCCCCAGGACAACTACTTCACCACCCAGTAACCCCTCCGCCATTGTTGTTGTAAAGTCTTTCTTTTAAATCAACAAAAGCGTTGCTGGAGGAAGAGTTGTTTTAAGGGTAGACGAGAGGGTTGAACACTTCCCCCAGACCAGGTCCGGGCCGGGTTTGCAGGGGGTATACAGGCTGCACTCGGCTTAATACTTCCAAATACCCCAATTTCTTTCGTCTTCTTTGTGCAGTAAAGAAAAATAAGAATAAAGGTTAAAATAATAAGGTTTAAATATTTTTAACGCAAAACATTGAAAGTCATTGAAAAAGTAATTGGGAGGGGGGGGTTTGGGTTTTTTCTCCCGGGGTAAAATAAAAAGGAACGCTGGAGGTCTACGGGCCCCAGGGGGGGTGGTCCAAGTCTCCTTCGGCTTAAGCCAAAAACCCTAACCTAATTAGTTCAGGTCAATTCCCTTAAGGCTAAACAAACATAAGGAAAAGGGGACCATGCAGAAGGCCTACGGGCCCCTACAAGGCAGTTCCTTATAAAAACGCCCCCTACCCAAGGCTCCCCAAGAATACCCTCCCGTCCCCAATGACCCCAATCAAAAAAAACCCCCTCCCCTCGTAATTTGTCCAATTTTTTTTTTAAAAAAGCAACCGACGGTCCTAGTCTCTATCACGTTACTCGGAAATTGTTCCACGCCCCACAACTGTTCAAAAACCAGTACGCCCTATGCCCTTTCAAAATCTAAATTTATCCAATAAATCCATCATTTCTAGTTGGGACACCCTCTACTTTATTAATTCACTTTGTTTATGCCGTCATCCACTTATACATTCAGTATTTTCCCCCTCTTTTTACGTCTCTCCATATTCTTTCTACATTCAACAAATATTAACATCAAAAATAATGACAAAGTTTAGCACAAGTAAAGTTAACTTTCCCTCCATTGAACGGGGGGCGAATGGAAGTATTGAAAGAACTATTTTTAAGTACAAATATCTCTTTCCCCAGTGGAAATAAAGGGTATAAAATACCAAACCAATGGAAAAATATAAAATATATAGTATAAGTGATCCTTTTTGACTACGTTTCGCCCCGCAGTGGGCTTTTTCAGGTCACAAACAGATTTTTCTCAGCACGTATCCGATTCTTTTAAAGATGTGGACTGACCAATCGACTAAAGGGGTTGAGGACTGATTCCCTCTTTCCCCCCTTTTTCTTCAAGATTCCCCTTTGTGGGGCTGATGAACCCACTGTGGGGCCCGAAACGTTTCCTAAATAAAATTACCAAGGGTTTGCACAGTGTCAAATTTATAAACATGTGGGTTCTCTAAAACCATTCATCTACTATGGGGTGGAAAGGATACTTTAACTGAATATGTGTTTTTTCCCAGACGGAAATTAAAATCTTAGCAAAGGTGATTTAGCAAGGTTATTTGTAGAGCTGTGTTTAGTTTTTTCTTTTTTATTTTTTGTAAGCTGACCCAAAAATCTCCTTCAAAATTAAACTTACTTTTTGAGATCTAGGAAGAACGATTAATGGAAATTTTGTAAGTTATTTCCCGGCCTCAAGATAAAAAAAATGAAAAAGAAAATAAAGTCTTCAATAAATGCGGTGAAATCCCCAAAGTGTTGGTTAAAAGCTCTTAATGATGGGGAAAAGATCAAGGAACTTATGAAGGTTAAAAAACGCCGCATCACGCCTAAGTGAGTTCAGGAAAAGATCAAGGAACTCTATGAAGGTGAAAAACCCCAATCGAGTGGACACTAAATGTTTTCCCCCATCTTTTGGGTCTTTATCCCTTGTCGGCATCCCCTATGTAGTGTATAGTAGTATAATATATGAGTAGTAGTTTACATGAAAGGTGTAGTGAAAAGTGAAATGATGCAGTATATTGAGAGAAAGATACTGTCAACTCTGGGTATGAGAGTAAGCCATGGCAACATTGGGTATCTTTATTGTAGAGTTAGTTGAGATAACAACTAACCATTCTTTGGGAAGGACCTATTTTCACGGGGGAAATCCCCCCCTACAGTGTTTTGCCCTCGTCTGCTTCACTGCGTTTACTTATACGCCAGGATTTTTTCTTCTGCTTCAGAATCTCCACGACTTGGGTTTTCGCCCTACTCCTGGTTGAGGGGATTTTCTCATTTTCGTACATATTCTCTGTTTAAAGGTTATTTTGGGAAATTTGTATTAAAAAGCCACTGGATGGCAAAAACGTCTACAAAAAAGATACCAGATGTTGTTGTCTTACTTCATTTTGTGGGTATTAATACCATTGCAATGCAGTATATTACATTCAAGGGTTTAAAGGGAAACCTAATTTTTAAAAACGAGGGGGAAAATTGGTTAAAAACCGACACAAGGGAAATATAAACCAAATGCATTTAAAATGTGATCTTTATTGAAAACGTTTCACCCCCCAGGGGAAAAAAAGCCCCCTGTGGGGTGAAACGTTTAAATAAAGGATCACTTATACGCACTTGTTTTTTATTTTTCCCTTTTTATAACGAGGGTCATTAAAACCCTTGAACTTGTAAAAATATTGATTTCTTGTTTACTTCCGTTTTCTGTATTAAAGATTGAGACACTTAGAACTATGGAATCTTTATTCAGGAAAGTTTCGCCCCCAGTGGCTTCACAGTCCAAAACAAAAAGGAAGATGAATGGTTCAGAA